AAAAAAAAAAAAAGGAGAAACAACAAGAAGTTCATTTTTGCTTGCAAGCACCATCACTGCAGCCAGACCAAGCAGACTAAGTACTTCTGTCCACACAAAGTAAATATGGAGCCTAATCACACAGTGAACCTCTTTCCATAAGTACTCACAAACTGCAAGAATATCTACAGAGCTCAAAAAAGGCTCTCTACCTTGACTTGCCTGCCAAATACAAATAGGAAAAAGTTGTTTAATGTTTAGGGTCGATAGCCAGCAGTTACATACAATCCATCAGAGACACAATGCAATGCTTTCTTCCCTAGCCTTGGACAATTACTGCAAAAGAAACATGCAGCTTCTTTGTTTACAGCATATAAATACTCAGAAGTGTAAAACTCTGAAACTGCACAAAGCAGGTGTAAGGTGGTTGAGGTTATTAAAGGGGAATTAATTTCTTTCACCTAATAAAGAGAGGTGTAACACATCCCCCGCATTTGCTCTACTCACAAGCATAGTCCCTGAAAATCCATCACTTCCACAAGCTGACAAGTCACACTATTTAGATTCAATGCTCATCTCCTACCGAGCAATGCCAGCTACTCCGTATGACCACACATGACCACTCCTGAAGTCTGTGAGGTGAGCCTGTATCCACTCTCCCCACATCTTTCTGAGCAGCTTACACCACTTGGTATAAGCCCATCTACGGAACATTCCTTACCAACGTAAACTGCATTTCACTAGCAACAGTTCCTTTCAAGGTACGAATGGCCCTCCACATGTCAGCACAGAAGTGGGTGGCAGCACAGAGTTTCACCAGCCACATACATGTTATGTACTAATACTGTCCCAGGTGAGCTTGCAGATGAGGGAGGGCTCCCCAGCTGCAGGTCAGGCACACATCAGGTCTGACAGAGCAGCTGGTCCTCCCAGAAAGACTGCATCTCTGCTATCACTCAGCAACAGCACATACCCCTCCTTGTAGGACAAGGATTTGAAGAAGCCACCGGCAAAGCAACCCAAGCAGTTAGCATTTCATAGGAAATTTATGAGGTTAAATATGCTGAGGACAAAGAATACAGTGTCTGAATCTGAAGACTGGCAGCCAGAAGAGATGAACAGTGACTGATCAGAAGCCGAGAGCTGTTTCTCTGTTTTCTTCCCCTACCCCACTCCCTCAGAAGGAAAAATACTATCTGTGCTCAATTTTAATTAGAAAGTAAATCCCTTTATATATGCATTGTTGCTGATATTTTGAAGCTGGCATTTTCGACCTGTGACATCATCATAAAGGTAGTTACATACGTCCAAAGGAATCAGATTTCTCCAGTTCCCAAAGGCAGTTTAAAATGTTCCTATGCTCCAGCTCTTGACCTATCATTCTCCAAAAATATCTACCCATTCTACAACTTCCAGACAAATTTCCCTATTCTCTAGAGCTCAAATGCAGATGTAATCCATTCACAAAGGAAAAAAGGAAACTTGATTAATGCTCCTCTAACCAGCGTTTCTGAAAAACATAATTAAGATTCGGACCCAAATATCTGTACAGAACTCCCACTGAAGGACACAAGGAGCCCATCACCTTTATACACCTATGACTAGATCCATATACCCACAACTTCCTCATATCTTCAGCACACCTTGCCATAAACACTTCTTTCTATCCCAATTTTTCTATTTTTCTGTTAAAAAAAAAAACAAAACAAGGAGAATAAAGTTAAAGCAGTCTGATGAGAGCAAGCTATCAGAGAGATGCAATTGCAAAAACTATTAAAGCAATGCTGGATATTTTGTAATGCCTCAAATCACACTAATTTTACAATGTACTATGGAGAGATGAAAGAGGAAAATGCATTGGAAATCACAGCAGACAAAGTTGCACTGATTTCTAAGGAATCACACAAATGGAAAACGTGACCAGAAAATGGTCAGTTCAAGCTTGGGTGGAGAAATGCCTCATGATGAATACAAAATACATATATTTATATATGTATTTCCAAGTCTTATTGTCAAAATTTAAGAATTGTATTAGTCCAAGGATTGGAGACCTCATGCTTCATCTCCCGCCTGACTGCTTCAGAAGTAAAAAGCCTTGTTCCACTTTCTGACTTTTGGAGAAAAACACCTCCAGTCAGCTTAGCAAGTCCTGAACATTAAGCTCTTCTAAACTATGTGCAAATGAATCTACCTAAAAAGATACAAAAAAGAAAAGATGCTCTGTTTATCAAAAGGAAATTACTCATAACAACAGATTCAAGCTGTCTTCTGAACACATAAAGGGGCTTTAAAATGCCCAAAACCAGACATCTTCAATTCTTCACTAACTGATTGTTAATCAGCACAAAGGTCTGTAACATCCACTATAGTCTGCACAAACATCTTTGATAAGATCTCTATTCAAACAAGAGCTTCATGCACTTTCTGCACAATCAGGGTTTAAAAAAAAAAAAACAAACAGCAATTGCATGATGACTAGAGATATTTCTGGGACAAGAGCAAGCCAAGAATACTTGGGAAGGTAAAACCTCTTTAACACTTATTAATAAGTTGAAACCTGTCTCACACTTACCTGTAGTTCCCTGACAGATGCGATGCAACTGCTTTTGCCTCTTTGCAATTGCCAGTTACCTAAGAGCTTAACTGGTTTCACAGCTGCCGTGTAGAACACAAAAGGTGACCAGAGGCCAGGTCTTACTCACTTGTCTGTATATATCCTAGGGGACCAGCTTCACGAAACACTGCTCATGTTCAGAGTCCCCCAGATCAAACCAAAGACCAAGAGAGGAGCACAAAGGCTGGGCTGGTGAGACTCTGGGCAGGTTCCAGGAAAGCAATCCCTTTCTTCCATCAATCAGAGTAAGGCACGAGAGAAAAACAAAAAAAAAAACCAAAAAACCAAAAACAACAACGCACACAAACCTCCACAGCCAGCTGTCGTGACATCAGCTCATCTCTTACAAATCTGAATAGCTGTCTTTGAAAAGTCAGTATGGTCTGTTTATCACAGTTCTCAGATTACTGGACAGAAAGGTGCCTTGGGGTATGCTTCCAGTTCTGGATCATAACGGTCTGGTACTTCTCCAAGTCCTTACTAGTTTATATGGCACCACACTTCCAGAGTACCAGTTCTGTTTTTCCAGATTGGTAAGCCATTTTTCTTGCACATTTGTGTTGTGCTTTTGTTTGTTTTTGTTTTTTTTTTGTTGCTCTTAAGTAAGAACAGAGAGGCAAGCTCTGTAAACAGAGGATGCTGCAATTCACATAGGTATTATTTTCCAGGTTTCAATCTCCAGTGCTGTTGACCTAGCAGCCTTCACAGCACCAAATTCACAAACCAAGTAGTGAACGTCATAACATCAGCTCTACTTTCATGTATAAACTTATTCATACTCATGCTGGCACTGCCTCTGCCTCATTAAAGAACAGCTGACACTTCATATGAACTCAGCACATCTTATTCAAGCCAATTCTGCCTGCATACATGTTGTTTATTAAGAAGGACACATCCATTAAAATTTTATTTTATTTCTTCAGTGTTCAGCTGTTCCTGCTGTTTATATCATCCTTAAGTAACAATTAAGGAAATTACTATCATGTCACAAATAGAAGACTATGAATTTAGGTGGAAGATCCAACAGCAGGAATGCATTAATACAGAAGAAAGAGAAATACTGCTTGGATACAAATGTCTTCGGCAATAGATAAAGATGACAGATGTGAAGAAATGACAGTCCAAATAATTTGTGAACTGAATGTTTCTTCAAAGTTTATCATTAAACATCACTGGGTATGCTAAAAAGTACAGTAGCACGTGTCACTATTTTGAAATTAATCTGAAGAAGTGACTGTCACAACGCTGATATCATGCAATGGTATGCACACCAATGCGGCTGCCATTTGAATTCAATTGCAATTGAGAACCAAACGAACGGTTTATTAAGAACAGGTATGGTCATTACATAATAAAACTAACTAATCAGGAAACAATTCCTCTCCATGCTTTGGATCCAACCTTGCTTTTGAAAACTGAAGTTTCGCTGCTCCAATTGGAAGCAAACTGTTACACAGTCCATTTAAATAAGTATATTTGTAGCCTTACAAACAGGATACAATATGGCAAACAGATGCATAGGAAAAAAAAAAAAAAAAAAAAGGGAAGGGAAGGGAGTAAGGAAGAGTGGAAAATTTTTGTTTTGCGGAGCACCGAGCAACTGGCTACACAGCAGTTCCTTCTTCCTTCAGCCTGAAACACCTTTATTGATCTTTCATGTAAAGCAATAAACGTTGTGAACAGAGTAATTTTCTATATCAAAACGTGGTTGATGAACTAATAGTTATTAACCTCTTCCATCTTCTAGCACAGAAAAAGATGAGAAAACAGCAATGCAGTGGGTTTTATTCTGTATCCGAAACAGTGGGCCAAGTGGGTTATTCCCAACACAGCAAGATGATGGATGCAAACATCACAGGTGATTTCTTCTCAAGAAGAGCAAACGGAGAGAAACTGAGGCAGGAGTTGAGTTCACAACACCCAAAGAAACCCGGTTTGCACGCAGAGACAGAAATCATCCAGAAGCAGGAATCGCAGCGCGGGGCAGCGGAACCCAGGTGTCCTGGGGGACCGGCAACAGCCCCTTGCCGAGCACCGGGGGCCGCCCGGCAGCGGGGAACCCACTTCTAGGGATACTCCCGGGGCAAAGGAGAAAAGGAAAAAAGAAGGGAAAACGAACAGCTTTGGCGCCGACACGGAGAGCGGCGGGGCGAGCTGAGACACTCGCGCCTGAGCCGCGCTGCCGCCGGCAGGGCCGCGGCTGCGGAGGGAGCTGGGGACCGTTCGGTGTCTTTTTGCTCTCTTTTTATTAAAAAGCCAAACTTGAAGGCGGCAACAATGGGCCGGCCCCGCCGGCAAGCAGGCCGCTCCCCTCCCGCCCGGGCAAACATGGCCCCTCGCAACACGGCCGTCAACTTTTCCCCACCGCCGCCTCCTCCTTCTCCTCCTCCTCCCGCCCCCCGCTCACCTTGCATCAGGGAACAAAAACTGCAGGCGAGCAGGCTCCGCAGGACGGCCCCCATCTTCCCTCGCTCCGCGCTCTCACCGGCGGGGCGGCGGCGAGGAGCAGTCCCTCCGCTGCCACTTCATGCTGCCCGGCGGGCGGGGAGGCGAGGAGGAGGGCCGGGCAGCGGCGAAGGGCGGCCGCCGAGCCCCCCTAGCAGGCCGCTGGCCCCGGCGCGCCGCAGCGGCACCGAGCGCTCCCCTGCATGCCGGCCTCCGCGCCGCCGCCGCGGCCGCTCGCCATCCACTCTTCGCTCGCTCACTCGCTCGCCCGGCCTCCGCCTCCGCCGGGCGCGCACAGGCGCAGGGATACAGCCCTCCTCCTTCTCCTCCTCCTCTCCCGGCCCGGCCCGGCCTGGCCCCCGCCCCGCGCCGCGCCCGCCCGGCTCCGCGCTCCCGCCGCACCGCCCGCCTCCTCAGGCGGGGAGCGAGCGGGCGGGCAGAGGGCGGCGCGCACGCAAACGGCGGCGGGCGAGCGCCGGCGGCGAGGCGGGCAGCTCCGCCTCGGGCGGGGCGCGGGGCGAGGGCGGGCGGGCGCGCGCGGCTCAGGGACGCCCGTGGGCAGGGCGAGGGGTCGGACGGGGGGAGCCGGCCGCCGCCGTCGCATTCCAGCGGGACTATTTGCCGCGTTGTTTCGCACGCACGCCTCCGCCGCCTTTTTGGGTGCGATACGGTTGTCGGAGCAACACCGGCCCGGGAGGGACGGGACTACTTTCAGTCACAGAGCGGCGGCCGCACAAAGACGGCCGCTCCCCTGCGCCCGCAGGTGCGGGCTGCCCGGCGGGGATCCTCTTCCGTCTCTCTGGGTCGCTGCCCAGCGGCGGTTCCCGAGTGAAGGGTGGGCTGTGGGGCCACGGCCTTTTCTTGGAAATCGCTGCGGAGCTGCCCCGTGGGCAAAGCTACTTCAGTATTTCTCCGAGGAACGCCACATCTCACGAGGCGTCCCTCCTTTCCTCCCGGAACAGCTGTTCGTGGAATGAGGCTTCAAGGCAGAACGTCTTAAAGCAAAATTCGAGATCCTCGCGTTCAGAAGTCTGTGTTATTTTCAGGGTTATTAGAAACTTATGGAAACATTTAACTTTTAATTTCGTGTCTGTTGAACATATACTTTCATAGCTTTTCTTGTGATTACAGTAGGAGATAACATCTGGGCCAGATTAAAGGCCCAGGCATCGCAGACCGGCTCTGACATCAGACTCCAGCAGTCATGTGATGATATCAGACTTTCAGATTCTACTGGGGAAAAACCGCAAGTCAAAACTTTCTAGAGAAAGAAGTAAATGTCCAACTTTAAAAGTTGTTTAAGAAGGGGGGAGGGAAATCTTGAAAATGTAAACAACTCAACAGCAATAGCTGCCTAAGGGCAGGTCTGTGTTCAAGTATGTCTTTGACTCCACCAGGTGAAATAACCTCCTGCGTTTCTGCTGTGTCAGCCAGGAGGATAGCAAACTCGATGGTGTTGGAGGGGAAGGGCTTCCCACGAACAAATGTACCAGAGTGTGGATAAACCTCAGCATATCCTTGATGTCACAACTGGATTTTGTGCGAACAGACAGAAGCAGCATAGCATTCTATTTATTTTCACTGAGCAATTGGAATCAAAGAAAACAGTTACTCACAACGTTGCATGATCAATTATTAACCTCTTATGTAGTATTGCAAGTCCTTAATGAATTCTTCATATCTTAGCAACACAATGCACAGCTGAGAGAAAATTCAAGCCTGAACCCTCAAATGACGCATTTCTCTATGTGCTGTTCCCTGTTGTATCTTGTATTCCTTTTTCTTTTGCTGGAAACACAATGGTGTCTTGGCTATCTTCCTTGGGAGCTGGATCCCCTGTCTGTTGGCTCTCACATCTTCCCCACCATCCCATCTGACTGGCTTTATTTTTAGCTTACAAACATTATGTGCTGTCACCCATCATGAATTTGACCATTTTTCTGTATTTCAAGACCTTTCCTTTCCTTATAGGATTTCCTCTAATCATTGAGTGATTAGTGGCTTTACTTATGTATCCCCTTTTCTCCATATGCTTCATAGAGACAGTCCCCTCTCTACTCAAGCCTAGGTAGCCTTTTTAAAAACAATTTTCCATTCATTGCTTGTGATTCAAGACCAAACCCCTGTTGTATCTGTTTCTCAGCTTTACTTCTAATTCATACACACAGGGGGAACCCAGCTGTAGAAGTTTTTACAAAGTAAACTAGATTACCTCACACATAAAAGATTCTGACAGCCAGGGCTCCTCTGAAATACTTACATTCCTTTATTTGATCTTAAAGTTAAGATGAAGGAAATAGAAGTGCAGAGGGAATGTTCTTTCTATTGCAGTAGGAAGATCCTCTTGTTGGTTACAATTATTTTTATTAATCTTATGATTATTCATTTTTATCAGTATTCATTATTATGAGTACTCATTTGCTCACTGAAATCCAGTCAGAGACTTTGACTGTCAAGAAATCTGTACAGTCTTATTCTTACCTCTGGACTCAGACGGTGATTCAATGATAGAAGAACTTTCACAAGAATTTCATTATACTCAGGTTAGTTCCCTGGTTTGGTTCATAATACAGCTTCAAAAGCATTTTTGTCAGCACAGAGGACAGCCAGGAGTGGCAGCTGGAGCTTCTGAAACCAGTAGTAACTGTTCAAGTCTCTGTATCTTTGAACAGTGCCCTGGGTTGCAGTGAAGTCGGTGGGATCCTTTGTAGAATGGGGACTGAAGTCCCTAATGAACAAAAGCTGTTAGCAGAAGATAGCTGCACAGCAAATGGATTTGTGGCTGCCCACATCACAGAAACCACTATCATAATTAGCTCCCTTGCTGAATGTCTCAACAAGAGTTAATGGGCATGGCATGGTGAATCCTGGTCCCTCTGAAGTCAATGGCAAAACTCTCACCAACTTCAAAAGGGTCAAGTTTTATACTGAAACTCTAGCTCAAGTCCTCTCTTGCATCCATAAGGAAAGACTGCAGTAAAATAGCATAGGAGATGGGATGTGAAGTGGTGATGACTTCATCAGTGATGTCTGTTACAACAATTTCACAGGTGAAATAAGACACCCTGACTCCACCTATCACCACCTTCTTTTCAAAACAAGAACAGATCTAAGAAATATGACAGATACACCTTACAAGATTTATCCTGTTCCAAGAGCAGAATGGAACACCACAGTGTTCCTTCCTTAAAGAACAGAACACTAAATCATCTATCCCTTCTTAAAAATCAGTAATAAGCAGACATATTTTTCCTTCATTTTTACTATTAAAAGTAAAGCCATATCAACTGCATCTTTTCAACAAGACTTGGGCAGCTTTCCTTGGACTGATAGCCATTTCTCTATTCCAGAAATTTTCTCCAGGGAGATCTATGCCAGATCTCACTTATCTTCACTTACTGTCTGTAGGGTTGCCCACAGTCTGTCAAACTATCTCAATAGTCAATAGCCAGCATTCCCATTATTTTCCCATCCATAAATCAAGTCCCCATCCTTCCCCCCCCTTTTTTTTTTCTAAATTATGTATGAAGTTGCCTCTTCTCCTTGCTCTTCAGTCCCTTATTTTTTTTCTCCATTAAGTGTAATACCCTTTTTGTTTTGTTTTGTTTTGTTTTGTTTTTAGCATCTCCGCCTTCAGAAGGTGCAGCCTGGTGTCCAGGATGAGAACTGCATTTCTTTGTAGCTGAAGAAATCCTTACAACAAAAACTTCACAGAGAAGGTCCTTGAGTTCAGGAGAGCATAGGGGTAAGCTAGTCCAACAGGATTCCAGCGATAACCTGAAGGGGAAATATAAAATAGATGACCCTGTAGGCTTGGGCTTTTTCTTTATACCTTTCGAGGAGTGTTTGGACTCCTGCTGATGGTGTATCCAGGATCAGGCTGTTTATCTACTGCTTCTTTTCTCCTCTTCCATCTCCCAGGGAGTTGAAAACAACACTGCCTCAGGATATGCTTCTTCAGCTGTAGTACCTTCAGCGTGAATTGTGTAGGATTCTGATTTTAACTTGGCACTGCCCACCAGGCCACAGGGCAAGTCCAATACTTTCCTTATGAAAGCCAGGTAGCCATGGCTATATTTCAAAGCTAAATTATAAAAAGTCATTTTAGAAAGTTAGAGTTCCAAAATTTGTAAAAAAACTGTAATGCTAGGTTGATGCAGCTAAAACATCCTTTCAAAAGAGACCGCATTTCAGGCTGACGGATACCAAAACACTGTTTTATTTTAGTTTGCAAAGATTTTCAAAAACAGACAGCACCTGAGCTCTATTAAGAACAACATGCATGCATTTTAAACAACAACAGTTTAAGAATACTTCGTTTTCAGAACACTTTCATGGAGCTCAGCATTTTGCCATACGCATGCATAGGATTTACTGGTTACACTTTGCACTGTAGCCTTTTAAAAATTAGTTGCTGGTAAAGGATTGTACATTTGTTAACGCTGTTTTAGCCACAGGGATAAATTACTAGAATGCATGCCTTATTATGGTCGAAAAAGGTAAGTTACAGTAATTAGCAAAAAAAAAAGGTAAGTTACAGTAATTAGCAATTGTTCATACAGCACTTCAACCTTTGTATAATATACACATTGTGACACATCATCTGTGCACAGGAAAGAGCCCATTTTGCAATTTGAAGTAGCTTCCTCTGAGCTGAAGTGCACTAACAAGGATGCACATGGGAAAGCCGCAGTTCACGATATCAAAAGAGAATCACCCCTTCTCCAGTTCAAAGTCTGGGGAGAAGATTTGTGATGTTTACTCGCATCCATATTTTTATAGATTTACATTTATTGAGTCTGAAATTACCCAAGACACTTAGCACCTCGAGAAAATGACTTTGCATCCTTCACTGTGATACCACTTCAGGGGTGTTGTTTTTCTTAACTGTTAAAAAGTTCTCAAACTATTCCAGAAAAGCGCAGTCGGTTACTTGTGCACTACCTTAGAGCGCAGAAGAGCGCCCTCTGTTGGCTAACCTTTTAGGTTTAATATCTACGATGTTAATGTCAACCTCCATTTATGAGGATCAAAAAGCAAAATCACAAAAATGCAAGACGCTGAAGCAGTTCATTATATAAAGAAAAAAAAAATCTCGATTTATTTATACGTGGTAGTTAAAAATAGAGGTTGAAGGTATATTCTTAATTTTTTCATTAAATTAATATTAGCCAGTTTTTCTAAGAGCAAAATTAATACATTTGATCGTTCAGAACTGTTATCTGTATGTATTCTCTGATCTAAGTTTTGTTTTACTGTGATAAATTTGCTTTAAGGCTTGGAAAAGTAGCATGTAGAACACGTACGAGTCCCTAAGTCCTCAGTTTATTTCAGAGCAATA